CACTTTTATCCCATCCCTCCACAGGAGATGGTACAACTACACTGCTGATCAACTTGACTAGATAGTCAGCATTCGAAAAACTTGACATCAACATTCGAACAAGAGACGACCTGTGTAAATGTTTATAAATTATACGAAAAATTGCAGAGACATGCAGCCTAACAACTGAATTTGTAATTTAATTAACCAAGAATATATAGGGTAATTTTTAGGAAAAGGTTTGTTTGAAGCAGCTGCATCCTGCATGTACATGCAAAAAGCTTGTCCTTCTTTTGCGCACGCAAAGTTCTCCATTAAAAAGAAAATAGTGCTGCATTTCATAGTCCCCAGTACGTCCAAATGCGGTACTGGTGGCTGTGGATGGATGAGAATATGAATACGCATGTGTTAAATAACATATAATTTTTAGGACGAGACTTGACGCAATAGAAAAGATTGCTCGTTTGTAGTGGCGGAGCCAGGAATTTAAGACAATGGGGTCAAAAGTTGAGCTTCCATTACTGGACAAGGCATGCCGAAAACGCGGGTCTGACGATCTGGAGGCTGCCAGGCCTTAAATTCACGGTGGTGGGAAGATTTAGTAGGGGTCGGAGAAGAGGCGCTGATGGAGTGATGGCTAACAAATGGAGTAGCAGCTCCTGTTGGTAGAGGCGAAGCTACGTAGGAGCGAAGGGGGGCGTTCGCCCCTCCGCTCGCCAGAAAACAAAGGCAGGAGCGACGCTTGAACCCCCTAGTTCGGCCGGAAACTGGGGAGCACCAGTTCTGAAACCAGAAACAGATTGCTCTCGGGGAAGACGACCGGGAGGGATTTTTTTTAAATTTTAAAATCCAGGCCAAAACGACGTCGTTTTTGGGCCTGGTAAAAAAAAATTAAAATTTTTTGGTAAACGACGTCGTTTTGATTGAATGAAAAAAATATATATATATAAACGGGGGACCACTGGTCCCCATCCATCCCCATCTCAATTCTATTTCAAATTAAAAACCCCTTAACCCTATTCCCCATATCCCATCCCGTCAGTCCCCCACCCCACCTTTTCCCCCCTTTTCCCCACCCCACACGACAAAACCTTCTGCCTGTAGCAAATTTCACTTTCCAATTGGCAGACACATCAGTCTGCAAGACTGCAACTGCAAGCACATCTGCACAGCCACTCCAAATTCCAATTAAGGTAAAAAATTAAATTTATTTCAAACCCTAATTGATTATTGAATATAAATTTTTGTTTAATTGATGTAGGATTATAGGGTTATACATTATATGATTATTGATTATAGATTATTCATATGAATACTATGATTATTGATATTTTTTTTTGAAGTACATAAAAGAGGACTGATATATTATATTTACATTAACATAATGAACCCCAATTCAACTAACTAAAACCCTCATTCAAATGCATTGTTGGTACGTATTAATTACATTCGTAGTCTACATACTCTACTGTAGAATAAAAATTGATTATTCATATGATATGATTGTTGGTACTGATTAATTAAATTTGTAGTCTACTCTAGGACTAAGAGTCTAAGATATATTTTTTTTTCTTTCGTTATACAGTTACGTAATGGAACGATATTATAAGAAACAGTGTTTAAATCCTTCTCCAAATATTCCGGATAGTCCTCCTCTTCCTTCAAATATTCCGGGTAGTCCTCCTCCTCCTTCTAGTATTCCGAGTAGTGCACAACAAAGTGAGATTACTGAGTTGGATGAAATATTAGCTAATCTTCCGGCAGACCTTGGACTGAGACATCGAATGCTTGATTATCCACTCAATTGTCGTGAAGCAATTCGTAGATACTACCTTCAAAAGGAACCTTGTCAACCTAAGTCTCACATCATGCCAAGGAAAGCTAGCGACAATCGATGTTTTATTATAGGTTGGTTTGATAATTTTAAGTGGTTGGAGTATAGTATAGTAAAAGATGCTGCATTTTGCCGTTATTGCTATCTTTTTAAATGTGATTTTGATAAAGCGGGTGGTAGTGGAAGTGATGTCTTCACGACAAAAGGGTTTACAAATTGGAGGAAAGGACCCGAAAATTTTCGAGTCCACGAGGGAGGTGTTGGAAGTCTTCATAATAAAGCTATGCAACAAGCTAAAGACTTGATGACACAAAAACAACACATTGAAACATTTGTGATAAAGCAAACTGATGAAGCTCGCGTTAATTATCACACTTTACTGAGTGGAGCACTTGATTGCACAAGATGGTTGTTGCGACAAGGTTTGGCTTTTCGTGGGCACGATGAATCTTTGAAATCGAGCAATAGGGGTAATTATATAGAGCTTATGCAATTTCTTGCCGATCATAATGAGAAAGTTAGAAAGGTTGTGTTTGAGAATGCTCCCAAGAATCTCAAGTATACTTCTTCCGATATTCAAAAGGATCTTGTTCGTGCTTGTGCTATTGAAACTATTAATGCAATCACTAAAGATATGGAAGGTACATTTTTTTCTCTTTTGGTTGATGGATCACGTGATGCTTCCAATAAAGAGCAAATGGCGGTGGTATTGCGTTATGTGAACAAAAAAGGAGAAGCAGCAATTGAAAAGTTTTTGGGTGTTCAACATGTCTCCTCTACAACTAGTAGCTCACTTGAAGAGGCTATTGAGAGATTGTTTGCTACAACAAATTTGAGTATGTCCAAGTTACGAGGACAAGGCTATGATGGAGCTAGTAATATGAGAGGTGAGTTAAATGGTCTTAAAACAAAGATTTTGAACAAATACCCTCAAGCATTTTATATTCATTGTTTTGCACACCAACTCCAACTAGCTCTTGTATTTGTGGCAAAGGAAAATGAGGATGTTGCCAATTTTCTTCATCAATGCTAATAGATTGGTGAATCTTATTGGATCTTCGTGCAAGCGTCGTGATGCATTGAGAGAGAAACAACAAGAACAAATTCAAAAAGCTCTTCATCTTGGTAATCTTGAAACGGGTAAAGGGTTAAATCAAGAAAGTAGCCTCATGCGTCCATGTGATACACGGTGGAACTCGCATTATGGTACTATAGTTAGTATTATTGTTATGTTTGAAGCCGTGGTGGAGGTGGTTGAATGGATTAAAAGTGATCGCAACCAAGATAATCTCGGTGAAGCTACTGGGTTATTCAAAGACATACAAACTTTTGATTTTGTGTTTCACTTTTTCTTGATGAGACTTATATTGGGAATTACAAATGAGTTATCACAAGCATTGCAAAAGAAAGATCAAGATATTGTGAATGCGATGGCGTTAGTGGAAGTATGCAAACAAAGACTACAATCCTTGAGAGATGATGACTTTGGGGACTTGTTGCATGATGTAGAAAAGTTTTGTGAGGAGCATGATATTGTCATTCCTAACATGGAGGATTTGCATTTCGTACCTGGAAAATCAAGGCGTAAAGCTCCAAAAATTACAAACTTCCATTACTATCGTGTAGACCTCTATTTTCAAGTCCTTGATATGCAACTAAAGGAATTGAATGATCGCTTCAATGAGGTAAACACCGAGTTGCTTCTTTGTATGGCATGTTTGAGTCCAGTGAATAATTTTGCATCTTTTGACAAAGAAAAAATTGTTCGTTTAGCCCAACTTTATCCTCAAGATTTTGATCGTATGGACCTCATGAATCTTCAAATTCAACTTGACAATTACATTCAAGATATGAAGATACATAGTGAGTTTTCATCATTGAGAGGAATCAGTGATCTTGCAAAAGAGTTAGTGAAGACTGGGAGGTGTGAAAGCTATATGTTAGTGTATAAGCTTCTTACATTGGCTTTGGTGTTACCGGTTGCAACCGCTTCGGTGGAGAGAGCTTTTTCTGCTATGAAGATTGTGAAAACACCATTGCGTAATAAAATGGGAGATCAATGGTTGAGTGATAGCATGGTTGTTTACATTGAGAGAGATGTATTTGCTTTTATTGATAATGAGCCTATTATGCGACGTTTTCATGACATGAAACCTCGTCGACAACAATTGTAATTTGTTTTTATTGATTAATTATGGAAGACATTATTATATACAAAGATTTAGTTGTTGCTTTTTTTTTTTAACCTTGCACTGTTTTAAATTCGCCCCTCCCCCCGAGAAATCCTGGCTTCGCCACTGCCTGTTGGACCTTAAACTGCTTCTAGTTCCAAGGATTGACAACAGCAAGTGGAGCTCCAATGGATGAGTTGCTGCTGCATCGAAGAAGAAAGAAGAAAAGAAGGGTTTAGTCCCAACGGCTAGTTTTCAGTTTAAATGCTTTGTATGTGTGTGTGAGAGTGACAAGTGTACACTCCAGATTAGATCGCTTAAAACCCCAATGAAGGGCTAGGATCAAATCTGGAGGAGAATGGGTGTAATATTTGTTTAAGTTCTCTTGTCCCCCAAACTCTTAAAAAATGTTTTGGGAGTTGGCAATGTACCAAACCTTACAAACATTCCTTATTAAATGAAGTGATGGCAGATGTAATTTGCACAGCCTTGTAGTCATCCAACATCTCTGCATTCTTTGTTCCATTTTTCTGTCAAGTTCTAAACCCCAAGAAACTAATCAAACAAACACAAACAAACTTTATCAGCTCCTTCTTCTTCTTCTTGTTTGGCCACAAGGTTATTGGGGTCAAGGAATCCCATTGCCCCCACCTTGGCTCCGCTACTGCTCGTTTGTGATTGAATACGAGTTCGAGTCGTAGAAACAGTCTCTTTGCAAAGTAAAAGTAAAGTTGTGTACGATAGATGTTTTTCCCGACTCTTGCAAAACAAAGAGTTTTGTTGCTTGGAGTTGTGGTAGCCCTTTCATGTATATAATATTAGGAAAACTAATGAAAAAGGTTGGAAAACTTTGAGTTTTAACGATAATGACAAAATAAAGGGTTTTATGAATAGTACCATGATTGACTTTTTAATGTAAAAATGTGATTTTTCATTAAAGTGAACAGTACCGCAGTCTTTTCATTAAAACTCGGTATAATATTTGTACCACAAAAGTTTCTTTCTAAATAAGATATTGAAGTGGAAAGTCACTAAGTCCAAGTTTGGTTGTCTCCACCATGAGTACCTGACCAGTGACGCACTTCCACCTCTCTCATTTGTGAATGTGAGTTCCCGCAACAATCAGATTCAGGAAATGGCCGGACATCTTAGTCGGTTACAAACAGAACACGAGGGTCTGATTGTTGGATCCGAAAGTGCGCGAAGACTAGTAGATGAGCTGAAATCAAGAGTGAAGGAGTTGCAGCAAGAGGTGAACAGGCAGAGTGTTGTGATCTCGGATGGGGCTGAGGAGAAAAGAGAGGTGATCCGGCAGCTTTGTTTCTCGCTGGAGCACTACAGGAGCGGATACCAAGAGCTCCGCCAAGCGTTTACCGGGCACAGGCAGCGCGTGGTATGTTTCTGAGGCTCACTTGATGTCTCTTGCATGATGTGTAGTGTTTGTTTAGGGTCATATGGTTAATTCAGGTCAGATGTTACATCAATATTTAGTTAATTACGAAACTAAATGCTCTAGATTTTGAATGTTAAAGAACAACAATGGCATGGAAAATGTTTGCTAATTATTATTAATTAAGATGTTAAACTCAGTGTTCTCACTTGTTAAGAGGGCAAAATAGTCAACCTACCTATTCTCCACCAGTGAACTGGGGGTTTTTGACTAAATCCTAATTCAGTGCGGTAAAGTAACCCTCATTCATTGCGGCCGCTATAATCTAATAAGCGAAACCAATGATTTCTAAATTGCTATTACCAATGGTAATTATTAGCTGAAGCTAAATGGAAGAGGACGACGAAGGAAATACCAATAGGATGCCTCCATGACTACATCCACTACAAGTCAAGGATTGCAATTTACAAAAAGTGGGATAATAATTTAATTTGGTTCTTTTGCTATAATCTATAGATAATACTAGAAAACTGTGCCCATACGTTGTTGCGGGAGCAAAAATCCAACTATAGAACATGTTCTAAAAATATATAACTCCCAAAATATAAATGCATAGAAATCCAAACTAATACTAGTTACACAAAGATAATGAAGGCTGTATAGATAATGTAGCGAATATTTTTTATAGGCTAGTGTCTAGATTTATACATTTTATACAAAAAAAAAAAAACATTAGCAAACACTTTGTCATTAACATACACAAATGGTTATATATGATATTTCCCCTTGGCAGTCATCCTAATTCTTGATTCACATCAGTAGTTGCAGATAAAAGATTTGAAAACATTAGATTGTCCTTGTACACAAAAAATTGGGGAACTGATCTTACAATGGCCTATTCACATGCAAAAAATATGGAGAAGCATTGTTCTAGTTCGAACAACAGATGATAACATTGTACGTTTGTAATCGATCCCATTCCAGCAATAAGAAAAGAAAATGTTTTTGTAATCGGAAGAAACTTGCTGCTAATAGTAAGAAAAACTTTCAGAATAATTTTCTAAAAGCTTGTTGCTTCCTCTGAATGTTTTTCAGACTATTAGCAAAAAGTTTCTTCCAATAACAAAAATATTTTCTTTTTTTATTGCTAGAATGTGATTGATTACAAACGTACATAGACATCTCTTTTATAGAGATTTTACACGACAACATAAAACATAGGTGTTCAAAAGTCTTTACTTTCACACAGCTTTAGAATTTTATATACACCTTTAGACTTTTTTTTACATACCTTTAGACTTTTCCACATAATTTTAAACTTTTGTTCACACTTCTAAACTTTTATACGCACCTTTAGACGTAAACTAAGGGGCAACACCTGCTTTTGTAATTTTTCGTAACTATTTTTATAATTTATGGGCCATGATTTGTGACTGATGCACTCAAATTTTTTTTTTTTAAAGGGAAAATAGCTCATCAAAGTGAGCAACTTTGTTATGTGTCCGAGATTGCATCTATTTTTAAGGCAATGCAACCAAGGATGCCTGCATAATTAAACTAATCGAGAAAGAAATACCAAGAATGCCTGCATCATTAAAGTAATCCCAAAGAAGAAAATTAAAGTAGCTTTATTATGTGCTATTAATTCAAAATAATTATAGGTGTCAAAAGTTAATGATGTAGTGGGAGACCTTGATGTAGAAGCCGGGCAAGTCTAGGTCGTTCACAAATCTTGGTAACACCAACTTGTTTCCCTATTTATGTGAATGTAATGAGTTCTAGTTTTCGATCGAATTTAAACCGAAAGACGAAAACTACTACAAAATGTTGTCGATGATACACTGCTTGTGTTATATCTATATGATGATTATGGCTAATTGCTTAACTGCAGGTGTATTAGCAATATCTCATACCAATATCAGCACAGATCAGTCTGCGCTTCTTTCTCTCAAAGCTCACATCACTAGTGACCCTCAAAACATCTTGACCGCCAACTGGTCCTCTGCCTCCAATTCCAACATTTGCAACTGGGTTGGCGTTAGCTGCGGTGCTGGCCACCACAGAGTCACGGCCTTAAATCTCTCGCACATGGGTCTCTTGCCGGAGTTATTCCTCCACATCTAGGCAACCTCTCATTTCTCGTTGAGTTGGGCCTTAAGAATAATAGCTTTCATGGTCCCCTACCGCAAGAACTGTCTCGTTTGCGCCGGTTGAAGGCGATTGACTTTGGAAACAACAGCTTTATGGGAACCATTCCTTGGTGGTTTGGGTCTTTTGCTAAACTTCAAACCATTAGATTGTACGGTAATGGCTTCTCGGGTTTCATACCGGCTGCTATCTTCAACTTATCTGCACTCGAAATAATTGATCTAATGAGGAACCAACTATCGGGTACGTACATACCACCAGTACCAGCCACCTAGGAATATAAATTAATGATTGCTTGCTTCATCATTACATTTTGATATATTTGTTTCATTTTAACATCTATATATAAGATGTATAACAATCATCTGTTTGTTTTTTTTTTTTTTTTTCCTTCTTTTTTGTTGGAATGCATGCACATATTTAACAGGTAGCATACCCAGAGAAATAGGCAACTTAACAATGGTGAAGGGCATATACCTTGACGACAACAAGTTCGAAGGTATACTGTATGACTTAGGTTTTGTTACATGTATACTAGCAGATGCCTTCACACACTGTGTGTGAATAATTTCATTTCTTTTTGTTTTTGTTTTTTACTATGAAGTGTGATTAGTTTTTAAAATTCAAAAAAAAAAAAAAGAAATCAATTATAAAAATTGGGACAATGATGAGCAGTTTCTTCTAAAGCAGGCATGTTTTTTATTTACTATTTTATTTTATTTTTAATTTTTAAATAGGGCATGTCATATTGACCTGGCTGTGAGGTTGTCGTAAATAATAACAAAATTTATGTTCATGTAATTACTAAATTGCCCATATATTTTATTTTTGTGCAGTTTTGGTGTGAGGGTTAAAATTCCAATTTTATGTAGTTTTGGTTGAGAGCAGAGTTCTATTCAGAGTTCTATTAATAGGTACTAGGTAGTTTAGATACGAGCCCCTTCTTAGCAGGAATCTTGTTCCACTTTAGCAAAAATGGAATGAGAGGACTATCATAGGAATCGTATATTTAATGTGTAAGACCCTCGTATTCTAAAGCAAAAAGAGAATCTATATAGTGAGCACATGGTCCTTATAATGTTATCCCACTTTTGCTACGGCAGAACGGGATTCCCAGTAAGAAGCTACTCCTATATATGTTTACATGATTTTAACAATATATGTGGATTGATTTATAGAACTTCCGAACGAGATGGGCAGTTTAGTTCAGCTGGAGGAGTTGTATGTGCAGTTCAATGCCCTAAAAGCCTCTGCTCTTATGCCTGTCTTCAACATATCTTCTTTGACTATTTTGAATCTATACGGAAACAACATGAGTGGCAGTTTTCCGGACAATATATGTGAGCATCTTTCGAGTATTCGAGTATTTGATTTGAGTCGAAGCCAGCTTGGCGGTCTGATTCCCGCCAAACTGTGGCAATGCAAAGAGCTTCGTGAAATCTCTTTACACTCTAACAATTTCCGTGGAAGCATACCGAAAAGTCTTGGCAATTTGACCTACTTAACCGGGATTGATCTTTCTGAGAATCATTTAACAGGTAATAAATTTGGGGGCATTTCATAATCAATTTGTTTTTAGTTTTTAGTTAAACTGAAGTTACAAATTTAATACAAGGGTTCTGAAATTGTTACAGGTACAATACCGGATGAGATTGGTGATCTTCCGCAGTTAGAGTTTTTGGGACTGGCTATTAATAATCTCAGCGGCGTCATCCTATCCAAACTCTTCAATCTCTCCATGATAAGAACAATAGGGCTTTCTTTCAATCAGCTCTCAGGTAGCCTCCCCGCAAACATCGGTCTTAACGCTCCAAACTTAGAAATCCTTTTTGTATCCAGTACTAACCTCGTGGCTGGACTACTCCCTAACCTCTCCAGTGCTTCCAAGCTCAGGGTGCTAGACATGAGCAAAAACGCATTTACCGGGTTTCTTCCTAGCACGCTCTGTTCCTTGAAAAACCTTGAGATTATTTCCTTGTTCTTGAATAATTTGACAATTGATGCTTCTACTCCACAAGCAGCAAGCACTCTCTCTTGCTTGTTTAATCTTAGAAATTTGACAAAGTTAGACATGGGAGACAATTCACTAAACACCACGATTCCAGCTTCTCGCGGGAATCTCTCTACGTCACTCCTATATGTGGGTTTATTCCGTTGCAACATCAGGGGCAACATTCCAGTAGAAATTGGCAACTTGAGCAGCTTGATAGCACTACAATTGGGAAGCAATCAGTTGAGTGGAGCAATTCCAACTTCAATACAAAGGCTACAAAATCTCCAACTTTTGTATTTGTATGATAACGAACTGCAAGGACATATCCCGTATGAACTCTGTCAACTAAACAACCTAGCCGGTTTACTTTTGCATGGTAATCGGCTCTCTGGTTCTATTCCTTCCTGCTTGGGTACTTTGGCAGTAGCTCTAAGATATCTACGGTTAGGGTCCAATTTGTTAACTTCAAAAATACCATCTTCCTTGTGGGAACTCAAGTATATATTGGAGCTAAACTTGTCATCCAATTCTCTAGTTGGACCACTCTCGGAAGACATCGGAAAGTTGAAAGATGTGGTGGTAATGGATTTATCAAATAACCATTTCTCCGGAAACATTCCCGGTAGCATTGGGGGTCTTCAGAAAATGATTGATTTTTCCTTGGCAAACAATTATTTAGAAGGCCCTATTCCCGGTTCATTTAAAACCTTGCTAAGCCTAGAATTCTTGGATTTATCCAAAAACAATCTATCTGGAGTGATCCCAAAGTCATTGGAAGCCCTCTTGTATCTCAAGCATCTGAATTTGTCTTTCAACAAACTCCAAGGAGAAATTCCAACAGGCGGGCCTTTCGGAAACTTCTCTGATGATTCATTTGTATCAAACGGTGCACTCTGCGGTACTTCCCGACTCCATTTTCCATTATGCAAATACAGAACAAAAGTTGAGCCAAATTGGAGGAAAGCTAAATATATCATCTCAGGGGTCATGTCAATAATACTCCTAGCCGCTGCTGCATTGATTCTGATGCTATGCAGGAAAAGGAATGTTGAAGTTGTAAGAGAAACTGCCTTGCTACGTCGAGTTCTTTGGAGAAGAGTTTCGCGCCTAGAACTTGTAAGGGCGACAAATGGACTTCACGAGAGTAACTTACTAGGCACAGGGGGGTTTGGCTCAGTATACAGAGGAACACTGTCAGACGGGATAGATATCGCCCTCAAGGTTTTCAATTTACAGCTAGAAGGGGCATTCAAGAGTTTTGCGAAGGAATGTGAAATGCTAAGCAATATCCGTCATCGGAATCTTATTAAAATCATAAGTTGTTGCGATGAACTTGATTTCAAAGCCCTGGTGCTTCAATTGATGCCTAATGGAAGCCTCGAACAGTGGTTGTATTCTCCAAACCGCTCCATGACTATCCTGCAGAGGTTGGACATAATGAAAGATGTTGCATTGGCACTAGAATATCTTCATCAAGGTTACTCGATACCTATCGTTCATTGTGACGTGAAACCAAGCAATATACTATTAGATGATGATATGGCTGCACATGTTGCTGATTTTGGCATTTCAAGACTCATCGGCAGTGGAGATTCGATGACGGAAACAATGACCCTAGCCACAGTTGGATACATGGCTCCAGGTGATGTATTTTTTCAATTTTGTTTATGTTGGTTTTATTCGGAGTTATAATTTTCTTTTTATCATACATAACTAAATTCACATACAAATTTTGCAGAGTTTGGGATAGAAGGAAGCGTTTCGACGAGTGGGGATGTGTATAGTTTTGGTATTGTACTCATGGAGACATTCACAAAAAGGAAGCCAACGGATGAGATGTTTGTTGGGGAAATGAATTTAAAGCAATGGATTGCAGATTCATTATTTCTAAATGCTGCTATAGATGAAGTTGTGGATGCCGATATACTTGGGACGGAGGAAGATGGTGGTTTCGTGAGCAGGAGGGATTGCTTATCATCCGTTATGAGATTAGCTTTAGCTTGCACTGCAGCATTGCCGAAAGAAAGGATTAACATGAAAGATGCCGTAGTCGCACTGAATAAAATCAAGGCCAAGTATTTGAAGGACTCTGGAGGAGTGAATTCTTAGTTCTTATCGTTGTTTTCGATCTTCAAAAACTACATTATTTTCTTATTGTTATTTCAGTCAATATATCAGGAAGTGACAAACTTCTAAACTTCTACTTAAGTTGGGTTTTTTGGCTGCTTCACCAATTTGTGCTCATCTTTTTTAATGACACTAAATATTAATTCTGAACTTATGCATACAGCATACCTATATTAGTATGATTACATCTGTTTCTTATCAAAAAATTTATAACATAAATTTCAATATGTAAGCTTACAACACAAAAAATTTCGTTTCGTTTCGTAAAATTACAAATAATTCACTAATACTTCATACATGGAGCAGCGAGCCACTTTAGAACAATTTGACAAAATAGGGTGTGGATGTGTTTTAATATTCCTTCCAACAAACAACAAAACGTTATCCCCTAGATGAAAAAATACAACAGAAAACAAAGCACATGCACTTTACCCCAATGGCGCATGAGTACAAATGGATCCTAAATTTGACCTGAGTAAAAGTTGATAAAAGGATAAACTTCTTATATATATATATATTTGTACCAGCCAAGGGCAGCTAAAAAATTAATGAGCAATCCAAAAAGTAGCCAAAACCGCTTCAGGCATATGCATCATGAAACACAATCTAAGCTATCTGGACAGACTATCTAGAATTATTATCTGATATACTGTTGCAAATATGCCTCTATAACAAACACAAAACATTGAATTCCATTACCTTCTTGTTATTGACCTCTTTCTCAATCAGAATCGCCAGAGCTTTCGAACCCTCGACCAGGACCATGTCGCCTTCGCACACATGTGGCCAGAGCTGAAGAGGAGATTCAGAATTATAATATATCATACTGACAGATTCTCAGACACATTTCATCAAACACCTAATGTGCCACGTTCTCATATGCTTTCTTGTAAGATTAATTGAAGAACAGTAAGTTTTTGAACAAAATTAACTTCTAGATGAGTAATTTAACAGAAAAGAAGCAACAAAAAAACCCAGAAATCTTTAATTCAAGAACAATACTTGGTATTTGAACAAAATTAACTTCCAGATGAGTAATTTAACAGAGAAGAAGCAAAAAGAAACCCATAAATCTTGAAAAAATTTGTCTATAAGAAATGAAATTGAGCTCAAAAACTAGAAATCTCACTTCAATTAAGCAGCTTTTCAGATGTTTACTACTTAAATATGCATGATAACAAAAAGAAGCATCCTTTCTTCACTAATTGGACACTAACAGAAAAACCCTAATTCACTGTAGACGTGCACTAATTTGCTATAGTGACATTGTAGACGACTGTGCTAACATTGCTCTATTTTGTGAGCTTTACACATTATTGTGCAACAATTATAGTGCGAATGACAATGCTGGCATGTGAATCTTCAATGGGGTAAGACTATCCCCAATCGAATGGTCCAGAAGATCGAAAATGGTCCGAAAATAGTCTCCAACCAAGGGCTAGGCCAAATGGCTCTTGAGCCCCACTAGACAAAAAAGGGCCAAAGGGCCAACCCGGCGGCCCAAATGAGTCAACCAGCCAGCCCGGGACCGGGCATCATGATGACGTCATATTTGATTTTTTTTAATCAGTTTTTTTTTTTACATTAAGTAACATGAAACAACATTAAACAATATTAAATAACATTAAATAACATTAAACAACATAAAAAAATTAACAACATTTTTAAACGTTTAACAACATGAAAATTATTGACAATCCATAACATAAAATTATTGAGGTAATTTAATTTAAGTAACCATAGTAATTCAATTAAAATAATAAATTATGTTTGGCCCTATGACCCTTTAGCCCTCGATTGGAGACGGTAAAAAATATGGCCCTGCACTGTTCATTAAAATATTAATTTCTTGGAGGGTCAAAGGGCTAAAACAAGCCATCTGGCCCTCCTTCGGTTCGAGATGGTCTAACCTGAAAAATAACTCTCGCAAATAAGCGGTACTCCCTACATTTGAGTTTCACTTGACTCCATTTCTTTCTTTCTCCCACCTCCCACCTCCCACCCCACACACACACACATATCTGTGAAAAAAATTATGGTTCCACCATAAAATCAATTGACAATATAGGAAATAACTCAATTTCTTATAAGCCCTTACTAGATTTCTCCTTTCATGATGTGGGACTATTCTTTCACCACACGCTTGTTCTTGTCTTATAAATTTCATAATGTAATACAAATTGAAAGAATCAGTCCTCTTCTGTTGAAGGATTCCTCATATAAGTTTATTTGATGGGTCTTTTGTAGGGTTCACTCCACATCTTTTAGATATTCCCTAAAATTCATCTTTTATGTCTTTTAAGACTACTGTGGAGCCAAAAATATTCACTAGGCGACACGTGGACTTTTTGGACAAAAGAGGACAAAAATACCCTCGAGGCATACCGGGATTCCTACGCGCAAGCAGTAGGAAATTATCTTTCAACCAAGTTAAAAGTGCTCAAAATAGGTAACGATTTAAAGCCTATTTTATCAAATCCTTTCTATAAGGTAATTCCCAAAACCTAATTTATTTTATATGTTTTATATTCCATTATTTAGCTAATCAATTAGCTAAATAATATAATCCTTTCATGTTTCCTAAAAAATTGATTAATTAAGGGATTAATTACCCAATCAATCCCTTAATTATCAATTTGAAACATCCACTCAAACCTAAAAAATACTATAGGGCCGGCTATCCCATTCAAAACCTAGTCCATTACCTTTTTTCTACTTTTTCCCATCATTTCTTCCCTTTTATTAGCCAATCAATACCATAAATACTAAAATATTTCCTTTCATATTTAATTAGCCAATTAATTGGCTAATTAAACCTAAAATTCCCACCTAGTAGCCGGCCACATTTCCTCCCTTTTGTTCCTTACCTTTTTTACTTTCTCCATCTTATTACCCAAATAAAGCTAATCATTCAATTTGATAACCCCCATTTATTTCTATCATATTTTATTAGCCAATAAAGTGGCTAATTAAACCACAAATTCACCAAAAACATGGACAAAGTGGCCGGCCATTTCTTTGGAAAAATGGACCAACTTAGTCCTATAAATATTCACCCATTTCTACCAAACACTAATTCCAAACCTCTTGCAAAAATTCCAAAACACTCTAAACACTATTTCTCTCTAAAATTCTAACTTTGGCATCGGAGGTTCTTCGGCCAAAGCCCCCCCCATTCATCGTGGGCGCGTGAGGCTTTTGGCCTTAACCTAAGGTGCTAGTTGTTTTGTAGGTGCAAAATCGTCCAAGATCGAAGAGGTGAAAATTTGCATCCACAAATTGGTGCTTTCATTGAGAGTTGAAATCCATACTCGTAGAAGACTCTCGCACAAAAAGGTTTTTTCTTTATTTTCTAGTCCATTTGAATATTTTTCATACGTTCTTATTATTAGAATTTTTTACTTGCAAATGTTCTTTGATAAAACGTATAAGCAAAATATAATGGCTAGAAATTTAGAAAATTCCACAAGTGAAAATTCTAATGTTCAAGAAATGGGATTGCGGAGATCCGTGAGGCTAAATGCGACAATAAGGGGAGCGGCATCATCATCACGAGCTTCCACCATGGGAACCACCGTGGTGGCTACCTCGATAGCCACCCGCGGCGAGGTCCATGGTGCCTTCACCACGGCCACCATGGGAACCACCGCGGTGGCTACTTCGGTAGCCACTCGTGGTGAGGTCCATGGAGCCTTCACCACGACCCGGAGATCCGTGAGGCAAAATGCGACAATAAGGAGAGCGGCATCATCACCACAAGCTTCTACCATGGGAACCACCGTGGTGGCTACCTCGGTAGCCACCCGCGGCGAGGTCCATGGTGCCTTCACCACGGCCACCATGGGAACCACCGCGGTGGCTACTTCGGTATCCACTCGTGGGGAGGTCCATGGAGCTTTCACCACGGCCCGAGCCGTGCCATCCAAGGCTCACGGTACCAAGACCACGATCCAAGTCGTGCCATCCAAGTTTACGTGGACCCAAGCCCAAGCCTCGCATTCACATGCACCGCGCATTGAGCAGCCTGCTCCCGTGATCCAACCTGCTCCCGTCAAGCAACCCACTCTCACGGCCCAACCTGCTCATGCCGAGCAGCCTGCTCTCGTGACCCAGCCTGCTCCCGACGAGCAGCCCACTCCCGTGGCCCAGCCTGCTTTCGTCGAGCAGCCCACTCCGGTGGCCCAGCCTGCTCCTGCCAAGCAGCCCACTCCTGTGGCCCAGCCTGCTCCTGCCAAGCAGCCCACTCTTGTGGCCCAGCCTGCTCCTGCCAAGCAGCCTGCTCTCGTGACCCAGCCTGCTCCCGACGAGCAACCCACTCCCGTGGCCCAGCCTGCTTTCGTCGAGCAGCCCACTCCGGTGGCCCAGCCTGCTCCTGCCAAGCAGCCCACTCCCGTGGCCCAGCCTGCTCCTACCAAGCAGAATGCTCTCGTGACCCAGCCTGCTCCCGACGAGCAACCCACTCCCGTGGTCCAGCCTGCTTCTTTCGAACAGCCCACTCTCACGGCCCAGCCTGCTCCCGTGGCTTTCCAAGCAGCCCAAGTCGGCCCAAGACTATCTCAACCATCCGGACCTACCATCGAGCCGGGGGCATTCTCACCATATTTTTTCGTGGATTTGACATTTCCCAACTCAAATCTCGCGCCCAGAGTCTACCACTTTTCCACTGCCCAAGGAGGCACATTCCTTCCAAGCTCTTCCAATCCAAATGGCGAACAACACTTGTCTCGACAAGTCATAGAGTTGACGAGCGCCCTTGCACAACAGAAAACCTTGGTGAATCAACTTTTGCAACATATCGGGATCCAACGTGCCCCGGACAAGGTATCCCGAAGTAGGACAAGGGCAGACGAACATTTCCAGCAGCGTCCCGGTAAGCAGCCACTCGACCAGCCACGAGCTGAACGTTTGGGCAGTGTACATTCCCGTCTTAGAGCGCGAAGGAGCATGCACTCTCGACTAGGCCCACGGAGGAGCATACATTCACGGTTGGGGTTATACTCCGATAGTCAACATGAACAACCTTCCGGGCAAAGTGTCTATATGCAGCTAAGCCCACAAGGAGCGTCATCTACCTCACATCAGAGTAGGCAGCACGACGGACGG